TATATATATATATATATATATATACATATACATATACATATATATATCTATATGTGTGTGCGGCATGCGCTAATCTTGTATTTCACTCTTGAATGAAGCACGTAGTCATTAGTTTTTATTTTATTCATAATAAAATTTAAAATAGGTAGTAATGTGTTTCTCATGTCTTATCATCTGATCAATTTATAAAATCTCTCATTAAGCCTCTGTACACCTAAAATTCCTTCATCTATGATAAGTTTCTTTGATTGGAACACCATAGAGATATATTAGAAAGAATATTATTGAGAAAAATAAATTATGATAAGATTATCAAAATTATTTTAATATTTTGATAATATGTTATTATAATTTTAAATTATAAAAATTATGATAACATATTATCATGTTTCTATCAAATAACGAGGATCATGATCTTAGCACGATTTCCTTCGTCATGAAATAAATTAGGGGAATATTTTATATTTGTTATTAATTAAAAAAATAAAATTATCATATTTTGTAATCTTTTTCTATTTTCAAATTCATACCCACTATTAATAAAAACTTATTTTAGTCATTTCTGTAACTCTTGAATCTCTTCCATTTTCAACTTGTGACATGTGGTGTTGAGATTTTGATTTGATATTATAATTAAAATAATATTTATTTCTCTGCCAAGTCTTCATACTTAGGGTTAGTATCATGGTTTAGAGATTCATACGAGAAAGAATATATTTTGAGTAGAAGGGTCTGGTAATTGAGAGAGCAATATTTGAATATTATGAAGGCCATGCTAACTATTAACACTCCACAACAGCAACAATGATACCACTGAATATTCTGGATTTGAATTGTCCTTACGACGACCCTTTGTGCTGCAATAGTTCCAAGCATTGGACCATGGACCACGGCGGTTGTTGTGGTTCATGGAGAAATTGTACCATGCGGCAGAAAAAGAACAAGCCACATTTATGTCTCAGTGGTAGCTCACCACAATGTCATCAAGAATCTCCACCATTCAATGACAATTACTGCATTAACGCATGACTCTGTAAACTTGGAAGAGTAAATGGGAAACATATAAAGAAAAAGGCTAGTTTTGACCAAGTAGAATTAATATTTGCCACATGGCAAGCCAAAATCTTACTTGAATTCACTTGACTAATTCTCCGTTAACCTCCCTTTGCACGCTTGTGTCTCTTCCTTTGCGCGAGTTAGATCTATGTCAATTCTCTACTTGCGTGTGGATGCCAACAATTTATTCCAGTTGGCCATCATCGCTTTAGGAGCCAAAGATTCCATGTATTGGCAAGCCATTTGTTTGTCCCTCTCCTTGGTGTGTCAAAACTGTTGTTGGGACTCCCTGTGCCTACTTCTCTTAAATAGCCTGTTGAAGAAAGCTAAAGAGGTACGTTTGAATAGTTTTCTTCCCCCGCTCTGAGATTTTGCGGAGGATTTCTAGGTGCATGGGGTCCCTTCCATGGTCCTGCGAGCATGGTTGTTATTGCGCTTCAGAGATTTGAGTGTTTCCTTAATGACAATGAGGTTCCCAAGTGAGTAAAATAAGTACAGAAGAGACTAGACCTTTGTTCTCTCAGAGATAGAAAGCATTCATGGCGCGCTATTATTCCTCCTCAGATACGAAGGGGAGAGAAATCTGGAGTGCAGCTTTAAAAGGGAAAGTTGGCCACAAGTTAAGTTGAAGGAAGTCATCAGCAATTGTGCGTGATGTGCTTTTGAATCCATTGTTTGATTTCCAGGATCAAAGACATGTCGGACAGAAGCTATGGAGCAGCACTAAAGCAGAAGAAGGCAAGCAGATCTGAGGGGAGGAAGGAAACAGAGGAGAAAATGGGTGTGGAGAAGACGCCAACTGTGTGGTTTGCGCTGAAGAAGTCTCTCCACTGCAAGTCTGAGCCATCAGACGTTTATGACCCAAAGACCAGGGGTCGTATGGGCACCATCTTGACAAGGAAAGCAGGGAGGTCTGGGTGCTCTAGATCCATTGCCAACCTCAAAGATGTCATCCATGGGAGCAAGAGGCACCTTGAGCGGCCACCAAGCTGCAGCCCGAGGTCCATCGGGAGCAATGAGTTCCTAAATCCAATCACCCATGAGGTGATCCTTAGCAACTCCAGGTGTGAGCTAAGGATAACTGGATTCGGAGGCTGCCCTGAAGGTGATGCTGCGTTAGGTTCTACCTATGTGGGTACCCTTAAGCCAGGGACACCAGGGCCAGGAGGGCACTATGCCCTCCACAGCACTCCTTCACACAGGGTAGCCAACACCACACCTCCAAGGAAATCTCCTACCCTCTTCGTTGACAGAGAGGGACATGGCTTCGGGAGTTCACCCCTTTCTGGATCTGCTCTGGGTAGTGATATTGGAGGTGTTGGATTCCACCATGCTGCTTCAACACCAAGGTTTTCCCATGAAGCAGATTCACAAACAAAGAGACCCTCTGCTGCTGTGACCTGCCACAAATGTGGGGAGCATTTTGGGAAGCTGGAAGCCTTGGAATCTCACCATCTATCCAAGCATGCAGGTATGAAACACAAGTCAAACCCACTTTTATGGAGATTAAGTTCAAGAATTGCCAGAGAACTGCCTCTTATGTCAAATGTTAATTCATGTGGTTTCACGTCCAGTTTCTTGGTTTACAAAGCATCTCAGGTTCCAATGCAATTTCAGTTCTTTCACTCGTAAATATTGTTACAGAAACAAACTAAAGTTTTTGGATAAAGTTATCTTTGTTCCAACGGTGGTTCCACTTCTAATCATGGCAAAGTGTTTCTTTCTACTTCATTCTTCGTGGGTGATTCTGCTGTGGTTCCACTTGTCAGAGACTGATGTGCCATTTCTAACCAACGTTCTATCAACTTTTGAGGGTGCTAAAGTTCAATCTTTCTTGCAAGAAAGTAAATTCGTTTGTAGAACGACAGCTAGAGATTGTTTAGTCATCCTACTTTATAAGATTGTCCTTAAATTTAAGCCTCAAAAAGTCCTGCCCGAAGAGTTAAAACGATCAAGAACATGCAGTTGTTCTTCAATGTCTTCGATTCTCCTGTATTCATGCTTCAAAAGTTTGATGGAGCCTCTGACTGGAAAACACTTTGATTTGTGCACTTGGGGCTAACTTGTCTCTCATCTGTCTTCTCTGTAGTGACTGAACTTGTGGAAGGAGATTCCTCCAGGAAGATAGTGGAAATCATCTGCAGAGCAAGCTGGTTGAAACCCGAGAGTAGTTGCATCCGGATTGACAGGGTCCTCAAGGTCCACAACATGCAGAAGACGCTTGCCAGATTCGAAGAATACCGAGAACTGGTGAAGAACAAGGCGAACAGACTCGCGAAGAAGCACCCCCGGTGCCTGGCCGACGGCAATGAGCTGCTACGGTTCTACGGCACCACCATCGCCTGCTCCCTTGGCACCAACGGCTCCTCCAGACTTTGCTCGTCGGAGAAGTGCAGTGTGTGTCGGATAATTCGGCATGGATTCTCCACAAAGAGAGAAATAGCGAAGGGAGGGATCGGGGTGTTCACAAGCTCTACCAGCGGTAGAGCATTCCAAACCATCGAACCATGTGAAGATGATAATTCCACGAAGAAGGCACTCTTGGTATGTAGAGTGATCGCCGGGAGGGTGCACAAACCTTTGGACAACTACCAGGAGCTTGCAGGCCAGTCCGGGTTCGACTCGGTGGCCGGAAAGCTGGGTCTCTACGCAAACATCGAGGAGCTCTACTTGTTCAACCCAAGAGCTCTGCTTCCATGCTTCGTGGTTATCTGTAGAACCTGAACGAACTGGTTCCTTTCTTTTGTTCTTCACTTGTAACGTTCTGATTCAAATCAACAGCTTCCTTGTTACGGATTTGAATCTCGTCCTTGGTTCTTTTCCTGAGTGATGATGGCTTGCGGAGTTGTTTTGGATTGATCTGCAACTGAGACCCAAGTCCGTGGCACACAGAACAACTGTTTCTTTCTCAGCTTGGAGACATTTGCATTTAGTAGTTCTGTTTTTGTGTCGGAGAATTCAAAATAAGAATGGGAGGCTCGTGTATCTGTTACTGGATTATTGTCAACTCATCGAGATTGCTGCCATCCTCTTTTAAATAACACATGTACTCGACAATGGAACAGACAGGTTCGATTGGTTTTACCGTATAACCTTGATAGCAACAGAACATGGCAACGCCAGTTGACTAATGAGTCAATGCATTAATGGTAATATATTATTATTATTATTATTATTATTATTATTATTATTATTATTAACCGATTAGAGTTTTTGCCCTATTTCTCTAGAAAAGATTTTTATTTTAGATTTTTTTGACATGTTACAATATTCTGATCATCGATACTATAAGATTTATTTAAAAATATTATAAATAAAAAAATAAAATCAAAATATACTAGATAGCATTTGATATATCATACTAGGATTCAAATAGGTATTTATAATAATTTATGAATAACATCATCAAAATAATAAAAGATTGGCTTGTTATAATGTTTTGTTCATTTAAATAAAAACATCATAAAACCTACTTAAAAATTCTGTAAATGATTCAAATAAACAGTTAACTAAATCATAAGCCTAAAGATATGATATTGACCTATGAATAATGATAACTAAAGACACACAATATGATATTATTTATAGTATTTTAATAAAAATATTATAAATATTACTGAAAAAATTGTAGACGAGCTAAATAAAAATTAAATTAAAGGTATCATTTAAAAAAACCAACGGGGAGACGTTGCTTGGAAAAAAAATCCAAAAGAAAATTATTTTCTTGAGAAATTATCTACAGTTCTTCTGCAAATGATAATTTAGTACTGGTGCAAAATTTTGTCAGGAATAGTTGGTGAAGGATATTTTTAAGTATTTTTTAAAATTAAAGACATCGTTTGAAAAAAAAAATAAAAAAGAGAGATATTGTTTAGGAAACACTTAAGATAATGAATGAGAAATAGTCCGCAAATGATAATTCTTCTTCTTCTTCTTCGATTGCAGAATCTTCTCCTCATCAGACGCCAATGATAATGCGGCTGATAATGGTCCGACTTCGTCTTCCCCCTCTTACACCCAAATGATCTCTAAACACGACACTTGTTTGCATCTAAAGGTCGAGTTAACCCAAGTGTGAGAACGCATGGAAAGAGGCAGTGCTTAGGGTGAACATGCCATTCATTGATTGAGTCGACCTGTGACTAATGAATCCATCTGCCCCTGATTTATTTTATGGTCCTCGTAATGGGCAGCAACAAGAATAGTCAAAGTCATAAATAGACTAATAGAGCAGCATCATGACAGGGGTGGAATGATGATAACAAGGGCAGTCAGAAAATGGTTCTTTGTTCCCATTCCATTTTTTTTTCTTTTTATTTCTTTGTGTTGTAATTGCTTATTTTTCAGTGCGTGAAGAGCTTAATACTATGATAAAGTCGCACAGCACGAATTAAAACTCGTACATATGTATCACAAGTAAAAACTATTTATTATTTTCAAGATGGACTGTTTTGTCATGTTACAATTTACTATGTTGTATAAGACGTGAATCAAATCATAGGAAGATGTTCGATTTTGTTTTTCAAGGAATCAAATGTTAAGAGGATTGGTTAAGACTAATATAAATGAGATTAATTACTAGTTCGTTTTGCCTGGACCCAATAAGAAACAAACACTACATAAAGATTCGAGGATGGAACGGTATATCAAGTATCCTATTTTCACTAATCCGATATAATTCAATATAAAAATAAAATAAAAATTTAAAATATCGATTCACGAGCCCTCTTTTCATAGATAGCATAGAACCTAAGTTGCTGTCAGTCGACGTCATTCGTATTTATCGTTCATTATTACTGATCACCTCGATATTGCTTCTCTTCTTCTCAATCTATCAATATATCAATACTAAACCAATGCATATCCATCCGTATGAGTTCAATATAAAATACAATATTTTTTAACCAATACAAGATTAAACAAATGTATATTAAGGTATGAGCTAAAACTATTATATATAAGATTTTTTTAAAGAATGAAGTACTAATAGGGGTCGGTCAAGTTTAATATGAGATTGACTCTTTAGATATTTTAAGTAATATTAGACTATGCTTTTAATTTATTGTCTTTCATATCAGTCACAAGAACATTTCAGATCCCTGATATGAAAACCCATTTAATCCAGAGGTGTTGAAGAAATTTAATTCGCCCTGTTCGACCAAGAAATATTTAATGCTCGTTCCAACAAGGACCGGTCAAGCCTCGAGTCTAAGGTTGTCATCTTGGCTGTTGCTGAATTTAATAGAGGACAACCACCAAAATAATCAAGTACATGTAGCGGTCAGTTCTGGCTTCATTCAACGAAGCCCTGCTTCCGGTCCTAGTCTAATAAATGATCCCCGAAAGGTTGACAAATGGCCCCATTGTGCACAGACAAGCTTTTCGGAAAGCCATTATTTCTTCTTCGCATGGAAATGGGCATCTTTTTTTGTCAGTAATCAGCTACGTAGCTCACTCAATATGCTGATAAATGAAACGTTAGACACAACAACAGCACAAATTGGCCCAGGACTCTATCAAATTATTGCCTTGTTTTTGTTCCTGTAGCTGTAATATATTTTTGATCAGTGATGGATTTAGGTTTATCAAATTAATAGACCACAGATTGTGTCAATATGCTTGCGCAGGAATTAAGGATGTCAGTGAGAGAGATCGAAAAACCTTGGGTTTAAAGTCTATCAAATGTGAACTATCGACTGAATTGGTTTATAGAACTAAAATAAGTCTACTGTTATCAATTGGGATTAAATATTTTATCAAATGCAATGAAATTTCTATTGATCAAATAAATTTGTCCTTCAAATTTTATTAAAAGTAAATTTGTTAATAAATAAGATTTTTATTTAGAATATATATATATATATATATATATATATATATATATATATATATATATATATATATGTGTGTGTATGTATGTGTATATATATGTATTATGTACATATATATATATATATACATATATATATATCATATATATATATATATATATACATATATATATATATATAAATATGTATATATATTTGTATATATTAGCATATGTATTGAAGATTGTGCTACGATGGTGAGACTTCTTGGGGTACTATTTGGGCCTCTTATTGGGCCCAACACAATTCTTACATGGGCGTAGCTGGCCCTTAATTGGGTTGGCCTAAATCGAAGCCTAATTACGTGCTAACTATGAAATCCTAAGACATTTGCTAAGCTAAACAAGTTCCTATGTCTATTCTTCCGGCGAGCTTTCGGCGAACTTCCGACGATCTCTCGGCAATGTTTCAATGGACTCCCGACAAACTCTTAGACTTCACGACGATCTTC